GCTGGTGGTACGAGTACAGATCTAGAGAGCTTGTGCACTTGCCACACTGCAGTCTTTTGGATCTTTGATACGGGTGTGATGCAAAGGCCTCTTTCAAGGGTTGGATAGAGCGTTCGGACAAACACATCAACTTGAGATCGCCTCAAGGGGTCTGCGTGACCACCCGGTCCAACATCCAACGGAACCTTCAGATCTGCAACAACCTGCAACATCCGAGGTGCCAGTGATGCACCACTCATTCTGCACATGGGAGACTCACCCAGTCCAACGCACCGTCGAGTGTTTGGCCCATGTCGACCGCGGCACCGCGGCGGAGCCACAGCCGCCCGACCCGCTGGCCACCCGAAGCCCACGGCAACGAAGCTCGGCGCGGCGCCAGAATCTTCGGCAACGAACTGTCCATGATCTCCGCACCTGGGCGACGGTCCGGTCGGCGCAGGGCGGTCGGTCCGAGCCGGCGAAGGCGTCGCCGCAGTTCAAGACGAAAACGTGGGAACGGGATTTTTTCAGACGAAAGCCCACGAAAACTCGGCAAAGAAGGTGTCATCTGCTGTAGACTAGGCTGTAGGCTTTTGAAATGACTCCTGAAGACTCCAAGCTGTCCAACCCACCGTGACCAGCGCTGAATCCTCGTGCCTGATCGTGGTGCTGGAGCATCTTCAGGAAGATACCTGGATCCACGGACAGGACAGTACAAGCTCGGTTTGTCAAGCTTTCAAATTGGCAGCGCTCTTGAATTTGTCCCACGGTACCAGGACCCACAAGAGGTGGTTAATGGACACCCCTTAACATCTAAGGGGCTATCAATAGAAGCCCCTTAGGGGGTCCTGGTACTTGTTCAAATTCTGGATTCTAGAATGGTGGTGCGGCATGTTAAGGGGGCTCCTGCACCGACATGAGTCCACCTTTTGTCGGATTCCCCAGAATCCTGGAATCCTGAAGAACACCATGAAGAGGGGATCTTGTCAATCGTTGCGTCTTTGTGGTTCTTCCTTCTGCAGTGTTGATCAGAAAGAATGAAGTGTGGGGACCTCAACAAGGGTCTCAACAAGCCTTGCCCAATCTGGAAATCAGGGATGCATTCTTGAAAAAGAAATCGCACGTTTCGAGATGAGAACCTTCACTCCTTTGAGAACGGCCACGCATCCCACCCCCGCGCACAGCACGGCCGCGCAGACCTGCAGTGCTCGGTAGGCGGCTGAGACACGGAGCTTTTTGGGTGCTTCAGCACGGTGCAAGCTCCAGTCATCTGTTTAAAAGGAAAAGATGTCTTAGAAACCGTTCGAAAAGTTGGGTTGACCTGGTTTTGCAGCGAATTCTGAAGTCAAACAATGGTTGTTTGGTCAAGATGGTTAGAGAATGGTCATTGGAATCCCAGCCAAAAGATCCTTCGAATGGGCAGATGCCCTCTATTTGAGGGGAGTAGTGGAGAGACATGCCGACCAAAGCCACTGGTCATGCGATGCCCTGCTGGTTTCTTCAGGGATTCTTCAGCTCAGCATCTTCCGAATGAACCGATTCGAGCATACAGTAAGCCTTCTTGCTAATCCCAACCATGCACCAGACATCCATGGTCTCCGTCTTTCACCAGCCTCGAAGCCGTAGTACTTCAGGTGGCAGCAGCCATGTGCTTTGAGTCGTTGACCATGGAGCACCTGCAAAATCAAGGACCGCATGGCATCGTCTTCGCTGGCAGAATCAGTGCCGCGAAAGCATCGTGACACGCCAACCGCGACAGCCCCAGACTCACGCAAACCGCGACAGAGATGAACAAGTTCAGTCCAGAACGGTCTGAACGGGGCACGGTATAGTCGTCGGTTTCAGGTGAAAGCAAGCTCTCAAACGCAACTGCAATGGTCACTGAATCACAAACAAGTCAAACATAATCACCAAATGTGGATTACTACTAGGACCAAGAAGCTACTAGTAACAAGGGCAGTCACTGGGCAATGATGAAAACCGACCTCTGAGGGGCCAGTTGTGGTCATGCTCCACATGCCACTGTGCCAAGTGGGCTCCACATCGCGCACGTGTTCCGCTGCGAAAAGGAGCAAAAGTTCGCTCAACAAAAACCTGGTTGAAGTCCTTGAAGAATACAAACCAGCTTGAGTCATACAACTCAGAAAAATGAGGTCCTTGAAGTCCTGGTAGGGTCCTCTCCTTTTTCGAGTGTTCTCCCCCTCTTCGATTGGCCACCTTGAAGTCTTGGAACTGAAAGCCACCGAGCCCAAAGTTCGAGGCCTCGCGGCTGGCGTTTTCGGCGGAAAGAGGTCACTTCAAAGAGGTCACTTCTCCCGCCATCGGCGAAATGAAACCAAGTGGATGGCCCCCCATGGCCGGTGACCTGCCACAGCCACATCAATTCTTGGGTGGTTCTTTGGATGATTTTGGATGTATGGCCCATACACATCAGAATTGACCTCCAGGTCAATACAGTTCGACCCTCGGTCGAAGTCAAAACACATGGATGCGAAAGCCATGGCTTTCCTCTAGAAACAATGGGGGGGGGTAATCGTCTGCTTCCATGTTGGAGGGTAAATCCAACCAATGGGATTTGGATATTTTGAGGTGGAACTAACATGGAAGCGGATGGCACCACCTGTCTGTAGTGGAAAATGGTCTTCCTTTCGGGGCCATGCCCTCCGGTTACTGTAGGTCTGGATGGATGCTCTGTTGGTCGCATGAACGGCGATTCTGGGAGATGTCCGGAACAGACATCCAAAATGGTCGCCACGGAGCTCCCGCCTTCGGCGGCCCTGCGGGGTCGCCACGGCAACAGCCCGAACCGAACAGGGGAAGCAGAACAGCAATGCACATGGAACCGACCAGGCAACCACGCAAGCCACCCGAACCGTCCCGGGCAATCTCACGCCGTGGCTGGCGAGGCGTCACACACTTGGAAAAGAAAGGCCACATGGCCACGCAAAGAAACGCTCTGCGTTTCACCAGCAAAGAAGAGCAAAGGTGCCAGATCGTCGTTGGGGGCACGACCGTGCACAGCCCGACCGGGCCATCGTTTTCGCGGCGTCCAGACGCCGGACCCTTCGTGCGAAAAGGCCTTCGAGGCTCAGCTGCCAATGCGGCGATGGCTGAGTTTGCTTTCAAGTGTTTTTCACCCACTTGGCACAGTTTGCATTCTTCAAGCGCTGAAGCACACACTTGAGTTTACCTATCCAACTATTGCATCCATGTTGAAGATGAACATTGAACCTGCCGGAGACTTTCAGAATGCAGCAGCAAGCGAAAAAAAAAAAAAAAAAAACAAAGCGGACCGTACAATAGGAGTTACATCCATCGGCACGAAGAAGAAAGGAAATTAGCCCAGCTGGAGACCCCAATAGCAAGATACAAACCGGGACAAAAAGACAAATCTGGAAACAGCTGCTGTTTTCAACACATCGACCAACTCTTCCTTGGACACCATCATCCCATAACCGGGACACCATCACAAAATGACCAGGGCAACATCAAAACATGACCGAGACACCGTCACAACATGATTGGGACACCATCACAACATAACCGGGACACCATCACAAGGTGACCGGGACACCAGCATGACATGACGGGGACACCATCACAACATGACCGGGACACTATCACAACATGACTGGGACACCGTCACATGACCCGGACACCATCAAAACATAACCGGCACACCGCCAAAACATGACCAGGACACCATCACAACATGACCGGGACACCATCAAAACATGACCGGGACACCATCACAACATGAGCGAGACACCATCACAACATGACTGGGACACCGTCACAACATGACTGGGACACAATCACAACATGACCGGGACACCATCACAGGGTGACCGGGACACCAACATGACATGACGGGAAAACCATCACAAGATGACCAGGACACCATCACAACATGACCGGGACACCGTCACATGACCCGGACACCATCAAAACATGACCGGCACACCGCCAAAACATGACCAGGACACCATCACAACAGGACCGGGACACCATCAAAACATGACCGGGACACCGTCACAACACGACCGGGACACCATCAAAAAGGGACCGGGACACCCATCAAAACAGGACCGGGACACCATCACAACATGACTGGGACACAATCAAAACATGATCGGGACACCATCACAACATGACCGCGCCACCATCACATGATCGGGACACCATCAAAACATGACCGGGACACACGACCGGGACACCATCAAAACATGACCGGGACACCATCACATGACCGGGACACCATCACAACATGACTGGGACACAATCAAAACATGATCGGGACACAATCAAAACATGATCGGGACACCATCACAACATGACCGCGCCACCATCACATGATCGGGACACCATCAAAACATGACCGGGACGCCGTCACAACACGACCGGGACACCATCAAAACATGCCCGGGACACCATCACAACATGACCGGGACACCATCACAACATGACCGGGACACCTTCAAAACATGACCGGACACCATCACAACATGACCGGGACACCATCAAAACATGACCGGGACACCATCAAAACAGGACCGGGACACACTCACAACATGACTGGGTCACAATCAAAACATGATCGGGACACCATCAAAACATGACCGGGACACCAGCATCACATGACCCGGACGCCATCAAAACATGACCGGGACACCATCCGCCCACCAGCTCTGACGGTGACCCGACGGCGCCCGTCCGCCTATTAGTTTTGCAAGACCCCATAGCATGGCTATTGGGGAAAAAGCTGCCGTCTTACAAAAGAAATGAAGGCCGCAATGGCCAAGTGGAGTATATCGACGTGCTGGGCATCAACCCGCATGTCTTAGCCAAAAGGCTAGGACATGTCCCTCTCCTGGACTCAAGCGGAGGTACCCTGAAGGGTCTCCAGCCAACATGGAGCTAAGGAAACAGGATCTCTTCTCAATAAGCTAGGATGATCATGCCAATGCTATGATCAGTTTTCTTCTATGCTTCTGGGCGTTTCATCCGTTGACGCAGCGTGATCAGGCCTCTTCTTCCTGCACCTCCACTTCCGCTGCTTGAACTTCTTCACCTCCAGATATCCGGAGATGGAAAGCATCCGTCGGGATGCGGCCAAAAAGCGACGGAAAAAGAGAGTGTGCAAAATCAAAGTACTTGAAACATCACCGACACTCGGGAACAAATATTCCCAGCTCAAATTGCTCAAACAATCATACCTCATGAAAGTGGGGCTGATGTGAAAAATAGTGAAACATACATGGCAGTCATGTTCATCATCCTTCAGAAGAATCCTTCATGTGTTTCCGCAGCATGGCCCCACCCCCATGGCCTTCCAGCATAGTTCCTCTTGCCCAGCGGTCGTCGCGGAGCAAGGTCTGCACCACCGCGAAGGCATCACTGGAGTTGGGGCAAGGCCTTGGACCCGATGGCGCCTTTGCATGAGACAAGAGTGGCCTCCAACCGAACAGAGCAATGGCCTCCAACCTAAAGAGACTCTCATGCTGTCACAAGAAGGACCGGGTCCGATGAGTCCAAGAAGGAACAGACCAGTCTACCCGTTGGGCCAGCGGGTCTCCCCATGACTCCAGTGGGTCTCTCACCGAAAGTCTCACTCAATGGCTTGGCCAGAACCAACGGGAGGGGGAACAAGACATCCGGACGGATTGCGGCAATGAGCTCCCGGTGTCAAGTGAGAACTCATCGTGTCAGATTGCATTTGGTTCCCTGGATTTGAAGTGGAATTGAACAAACGCTTGCTTCTTTGGACCGCGAGCGTATCTGCACATACAGTAACATTTTTTGTTGCCAGATACGCCGGCATGCCCATTTGGAGAAACCAAGGGAACTCCTGGCCTTGACCGTTTCCTCCAGGGCTGAAGACTCGGTTTGGCCCCGTCATGGCTTTCCTCTACTGGTCTCCGCGTGACATCCGTGACATCCGTGACTTGGATGTGCTTCCGGAACCGGGAAAAAAAGAGGAAGGGGATTCACACACACACACACATATATATATATATATAATATATATATATAATGAAAACAAACATCACCCTAAATATCAGCAAAACCTAAGGATGAAGACATACCTAGAGATTCCCACACCAGTAGGAACATGACCCTCCACGAAGAAGCGTTGCTTTTGCGATGACAATCACATCTTCAGCTTGATGCCGCCGTCTCCGACCGCCCGTCATTGGAATGAAGCTGCCAACTGCTTGGGGAGCTGCTTGATGTGGAACTGAGCCTGGCAGGAGCCCAAAAAATCGAATGAACAAACAGCTGCGAAAGATCAGCCTTGGGTTAAAGCTTCATAGCAGATCTCACCTGGGACCAGTCCTGGGGCTCGAACTGCTCCAATCCCAAAGACAAGTTACAGGCAAATCCTGAATCAAGTCAATCACCACCCCTAGTGCTGGGAGTTGTGATGAGAGTTCGTCGAACCACGACGGGCGAGTCTTGCCGGTGGTCACTTCTGGGTGTTGAAATTCGTCTAGAACTACCTGTCACCAGGACACCGCCAGTTTCCGCAGAAACCTCTGCTCCATCAAGACACCCCACAGCCGCCTTCTGGGCCACCAGTCCTGGAGAAAAAGAGGAGCTCAGCGGGCTTGCAAGCTAGCAAACTGGGGGGTGCGCGCATCGGTCAAGAAAGACTGCCTCTTTATTGAAACTAATCGCCTGGAGATTGACCGATGGAGATTGGGGAAGTGAAGCAAGGCCTAAGTAGAGGAATTGGAGCTAGCGGTCCGTCCAGAGCAGTCACAGTCACAGTTCGTATTCAACAGTGGTGGCTCAAAGTCCAAAGGATGGAGACCAAACATGGTTTGGGTATCCAACCAAAAGGCAGGTGTCTCTCCTACCTGTTGCTTGATATTCGTGCTTATCCAAACACGCAGCCTTTCCAACAACCAGGTAGGACCGGGTCCGGATGCTGACCTCTTATGCCATACTACTAGAGTCCTGCACGGCCCGTCTCGCATATGCTACCTCCCCGGTGGCTCTCAGCCCGAAAAAAGACCGGTCGACTCTCGCGGTGTTTCTGTCACCGCAAGATCTGCTGGATCTGCACGCGGCTTCGGTCGAAACGGTCAAAGAGGTCAAGGATGGGCTGGACGGGATACCTCCAAACAGAGGTCGACGAGGTCCGGTCCGACGCGGTCCGAGATGGTGGTGAGTGGTCTGGAGCCCGGTCTAGCCACGTTTTTCAAGTCAAAGAGGGAAGGATCCGAGACTTCAAAGGTCCATTGACGCTCTCAGTCCTTCACCTCTGGAGTCGGTCCTTCCTCTTCCGTCGACTTGCGACCGGACTGAGCGTCCTTTTCCTGTCGCCCCGACGGCCCAGTTCGGAAAACCTTCAACGCTGCTGGTCCAGGTTTCGGACGTCTCACCTTGTTCTTGGTGTTCTTGGGGAGTATGTCGCGAAGTGGGGGTCAAGAACTGAAGGATCGGGAAGAAGAGTCCATCTTTTCGTGCCAGACTTGTGAAGAGAAGCCTGATTTTTTGAAAGGACCCCACCTCGTAGGGTGACCCCGCTCCGTTTGGTCCACACGCGCCTTTGCACTGTGAGGTTGGCGATGAAGGGACAACTTCTTGACAGCTCTTCCAAAGACAATAGCCACAGCCACTTCCCCGCTCCATTTCCTGGGACGTTCTCCGAGAAAAAAGAGACTGCCCTTGTCGGAATTGGATGCTTACAAACGATGTATATCAATGGATAGATCATGATAGATATGAAATAAACCATTGCAAGACCCGACCCCTTGGATGCCAATCCCTCTCCGGTGAGCCCAGGTGCCATGCCAGGTGATGGGCAGAGTGTTCTGCCGCCAGAGAGCGCAACCATCCACCCGGTAGTTGCCATAGAAAACCTGCTGAAGCTGCCGAAAGCTGTCACTCACCTGGCAAAGGTACACCCATCATGGGACGCCGATCTGCATCTTCAAGACAAGATATGCTGGCAAAACGAGTTCTCTTCATGTCGGCTATATAAATGCTGTATATGAGTTAGCAGGTTGGGATGATGTTTTTTGCTTTTTCCTGACAGAAAGCGGACGTTCTGCTGAAGTCTGGATCCCACAAAATTCTGCTACTATTACCATCCAAAAGCCAACCTTGAAGTGGAAGCTGCAGCTACCTGGTAGCGGAAACAAGGTCCCTTCCAAGCGCCCGTGGCCACCAGCCACTTCCATGCTTGTTGGTCGGGTTTCATCGATAAAGGGCGGGTCAGTTGCAGCCTGAACAGACTGAACAGCCCCACGGGGGCGGACCCACACCCTGCAGAAGCCTCCCTGCAGCCGAAGCGCTGTGCAACATGGCTGCATGCTACACCTGGGGCGCCAGCCATCGTGACAGGGCTTTCCTCAGGCGTGCGCCATCGCCCACGGGGGCGGTGTTTGTTCCGCGGTTGGCAGGTCCGCTAAAACGTCCAAAACGAGTTGGGGACGGGACATCTACACCCACTAGGCCCCACTACACCCACTAGGCCCCATAAGCCAGAAACCTAAGAAAACCCTCACTGGCCTTCTTCCGTATAGTCCCTGCACAGGTGGCGCAAGGGCTGATCTGCCTCCTTGATCCTCTAGACATGCCTCAAGTGTAACAGCTGAGCGTCCTTCTACTTCCACAAAATTCCCGAAGATGGACTGGTGGTAGTCGAGAGTCACAGACCTGGCCGAGTGAACGACGACGTGTGTCCAATCCAATAACCTCAAAGGAAATGCTTTTGTCTTTGTACAAGGACAATTGAACAATACTGAATAATACTGAATATGTTACTACTGTATTTTCATCTCTGCCAACTCAAGCATGTGAAATTCAGCCGATGTCAACTCAGATCGCGCACTCGGGATGCTCCCAGAAGTACATCTTGAAGAAATATTGGTCAGTCTCTCCTCCTGCTGCATCCTGAGACATGCTGGAAGGTTGTTTCTGCATCGCAGATTCGAGAATTCTTTCCCCAAAAGTTGCAACTGAGACATGTTGAGCATCGACGAGCAAGCAAAGGAGGAATCTGCATCCTTGCCCAATTGCCTTTACACCACACTGTTCTAGATTCTAGGCGACGTCAAAGTAAAAAGTCTGGAAGCAAAAGCTAATGATTGTTGGCAATGATCACGCCACCCAGCAGCCCCTTCACCGGCCGCCTGCGCCGTGGTTTTCCACCGCAGCGCCTCTCCACCCTCCTCCCGCGTGTCTGTGCGCGCGAGGACCCAGCGGAGGATCCGCAGCAACGCTGCAGCGGGGCCCAAATAGCCTGGTTGCGCTGCAACTGTTGCTTTGCAACTGTTGCTTCGTTGGGAAGCGCGGGGAAGCCACGTTGAGCGGCTCATCACATCTTTCATCAAGGGAAGGAATCAACATATGTATATACGGATAAAAACGCAAGCCGCAAGATGGAAAGCAAGGCTCATTGCGGTCCTTGCTCTAATGCAAAAACACGACGAAACCACCTCATGATGTGAATTCCTGTCATGTCCATCTGGCAAACCCCCAAAATTTCTCCCCCAAAAGTGGTGTTTGGGCTACCATTTGACCATGTTCGGGCAGTGCTCATGGACCCGATCGCTTCGCCGAAGCCCGGCAGCTTCTTCGCGCGCCTCCCGCGTTGAGGTACTTCGACTCCGTTGGTGCGGGCGGATAGCGCGCATCGTCCTGGCGTGAAGAGGTGGACAGTGGACACCTGAAAAAGGGATGTGCACAAAAGGTATCGAGGTGGACACCTTCAATGCAAACACATTGTGACTCTTGTTAGCTGAAGTGAAGACAACAAATGCATGGAAGATGGTGGAAAAGTCTGGAGTTTGTTCCACTCTCTAGATCCAAGCCGTGCTTCTTCTTCCGATGTCAAGACCTAAGGATGGACCTGTTGGTCGTCATGCAGCTCCCGTCTCCTCCTCAGAGCAGATGTGGCCACCGCCCCAGCCGCACAGTCGCTCGGAGGAGAAGACCACCTGCAAGACGAGACCGGGGCCGATCTCGTCAGGGCGATCGTGTGTCGCGGTGCCCGGACGACGGCCATGAGAGGCATTTGTTGGGCGTGGCGAAGGAAAGAGATGCCTGCCCAATCGGAGTCTGGACAGACTACTAGGAGCAAGAAGCTACTAGGAGCGAGCATCGCTAGTAGGGGCAAGGACGCTACGATCGGGGCTCCTGGCCGTACTACTAGGAGCAAGGACGCTACTAGTACACAAAGTCACAAAGTGTAGAAGTGAGCTCCGCCTCCACACTGGATCCGGCGACGATGGCCTGCCAGGATTGTCGATGGTTGACTCAGAAGAAGCAACTGCCTAAATCCTGAAAGTGGTGGCTTGATTGGACAATTCCACACCATACCTCCACCGAAATCTGCACATGCAGGATCCTTTTCAAAGGATCAATTGATGACAACAGACTCAGCCTCTGTCCCAAGGCTGGCAAATCAAACAAAAGTCTCTGACTTCAATCCGTCCACAAGTCGACTCCTGTCAACATGAGTTTCCTGCTCTCAGCATGACTCCTGAGGATCTGGCGCAAAAAAGAGCTACAGTACCATCCACGATCTTCATGTCTACAATCATCCCGGGCACTTCTGAACTGCAGTTTCATTTCATCCACAGTCGCCCCAGCCACCCATCTCCAGCGCCTTCCGCCTTCCGCCGCGCCTTCCGCGGCTTCTTCCGCCCGCGCGCCTCGTAGCGCTCGACGATGAGCCGCGACGCTCCCTCCGCATCGGTCGCGGCGCTCGTAGCGCCGGCGATCGACGTCAGGTCGTTGAAGATCACGTCCATCCCGTCGCTCACGAGAAAGAGCCGCTCGCTGCGACGCTCGCGGGAAGAACGGCGGCTGGAAGAAAGGTGCGTCTCCAGGAAGTCCCGATAGAAGCGAAGCCTGCGGGACAGCTCTTAGAGCTAGAGCTGGAAGCAAAGAGCCCACTTTCAGAAAGGCAGTTCTTGGCATGCTCTTAGCTGCAACTCAGAACCCCCTTCCAAAAACAGCTGTAAAACCCACAACAACAGGGCCACGTGTGCAACTCCAGCACAAGGCGAAAAGCCCAGCGAGATTTGGATGGAAATCCTGCTGTTCCAGAAAAGGGCCTTTGGTAAGGGAAGACGAGAAGCGGGTTCTGGGTGGATGAAAGGTAGGCAGCTCCTTCGCTTGGTTGGGCCGTTGGGGCATTTGCAAAGGGGCAAAGGATCTTGGCCTCCACCCGGTGGACTCAGAACAATTCAGCAAACCAAAGTGCAATTCCAAAACATCCTGAATCACCAAAAAAACAGGTTGATTGGTATCTGGGTCGAATATCAATAGTTCTTTTGCTAAAGCAAAGTGAACTCAGGTAGTTAAAGAGACCCAAAACTGTGGTCCTCCTGCAGTACTGGGCACGTTTTGGGCCAAACCTGCACTACTGCAGCATGGCCGCATGATGGGCCTCATGTACATGCCATCCCACTCATGGTTCTCGCACACGTTGTGCACCGGCAAGGGTGTCGATGCGCGCATGAGATGGAAGACGGGGTAGTCCATGACGTTGACGTAGCGACCGCCACTGACGCAGGTCACGACCTCCACGCCAGACCACTTGGGGTGTCCTGCGCTGACGGACGCGCCCACCCGCGCCGGCGTGGTGGGTCCAAAAAGACCTGTTCATATGGTGGTTGGAAAAGTCGTTTTACTTTATTTTGGTCATATCTTTAGGGCTCGAGATTCAGCTTTGTTCATTGTACTTATTGTATTTTGGTCATATCTTTAAGTCTTTAGGTTCTGGGGGCCATGTTCGAAAGGTGTGTATGCTTGCTTCTAAGGTGCCTTCCATCCTTTTTGGCGGCAGAACCTTTAGGCGCCACGTTTCTTGGCGCCACTCCTGTGTCAAAGTCCATGCTCGCATCCGCCTCGCCAGTCTCCCGTGCAGCCAGCGGATCCTTTAAGGCTCTGAAAGGCCTGTGGCATGGGAGGATGGGACTGATAGGAGGGCTGCAGGTGCTGCTGTGGCGACTTCCAACATCGAAACCCAACGGAAATCCAGTGACCCGGAAGGGAGACCCCTTGGGGTCTCCCCTGCCGGGAAGCATCCACATCATCCACCCCCTCAATTCAGGAAGCATCGGTTGAGCCCAAACACGAAAAGGACGATGGGCACCAAACCGACCCAAAACACTTTGACGATGCGCGCCAATCTTGGGCCTCTGAGCCATGTGCTGCAGCGGCAGTAAGCGCAGGGCTGCAAAGCGCAGCTGGGCCTCAGTGACCGACTCCAGCTGCTGTTTGAGCTGCTGCACCGCCTGGGCCTGGCTTTTCGGCGTGGAACACCCTCAACTTCGATGATCTGGGTGCTCTGGTCGTCTAGAATCCCCCCTAACGGCCGGGAAATGTCTGCAATCATCTCTGAACTCTTCTGGAGTTATTAGTGTACTCACCATGACTAGTTGACTAGCCCCCATCCAACAGAACTCTGGACAAAAGAAGTCCTCATCTTCACCAACCACCACCTCGACCATCCGACCGCAAGTTCCGCATCCCTGCCTGGCCGCTGATTTGTCGCCAGGCCTCTTGAAGACGCTGCGCCTGATCGTTCAGCTGATCTTCAGTCGCCTGCAGCTCCGCCTCACCTGCTAGTCGCTGCGCCGGATCGATGGAAGCAGCACGGCGCGGCACGGCACGGCACGGCGCTTCTGGGGAGGTCATCCAACAATCCAAACAGCCGAAGAGGTGAAACGCACGCTGAAGCACCTGTGCACACCACGGGTTGGAGGGTCGAGCTTGGAGATGTCCAATCCATCATCCGCATCAACACGTTGAAGCCAGCGGCCACTAGAACAGACAATAACAATGGTTTTGCAGCTGTGAAAACAGAGAAGCCCGGCTTTAAAAATGAACAAGAACGGACATAACACCGCCCGCACACCAAAGGCCGTCGTCCATCAGAAACACCAAGTGCTCAGGCGCAACGGGGTGGGTACAGAAAATCCCGTGAAATGTATTTGGAATTCACCGCTCCAAAGTTGGATCTTCCCTGAACTTAAGTGGATTCTCCTAGTAGATTCCATGAGGCTTCAGCGTCGGATGCTGCCGATTTCCTGGCCCGAGGAGCGCTTGGCGAGTGCCCATTCCCGCTCTGCCAGAGCTTCGCTGTGCTTCGCTGCCTGGAGCTGTGTTGGCATCCGGAACGTTATCAGTTTCGTTGGTTCGACAAACGCAGTCACTAGCCACTGGTGGGGGAACCCCGAACCACAACCGGGGAGTCCAGATGTGATACGTAAGTCGAGTCTACAAGAAGTTGCCAGTAACAGTACGGAAAGTGACAAGTGGAAAATGGCCATTGAAATGTACGTGCTGAGAACACCCATCTCCCAGTTCGGCTGCAGGAAACAATCCTGGCAACCAACCTTGCCATGGAAGAATGGCCGGTTTGGGACCTGTTTTTGAGACCCATGTTCGGTCCCTTGCCAGATCTTGCTAGTACCAGAAATGATCAAATCCAAAAGGATATCCTTGGTGGCACCCACTTGCCCACGTCCTTTCGGCACAATTCTATGGTGCATTATGGCACCAATTTGCCACATCCTACAATGGTGAGAACCCAAAACGGTCTCAGCGACCTCCAGATCTGGGGTATCGACCTCCGGATCTGGGGTACAATAATTATTGAGTCTCACATGGTGGCCATGGGGCCATTGTCTTTGGCTTGACAGGCTCCGGCCGTCCAGTCAACCTTGCCCACCCCAGCCAGGGCCTCTGCAGTCGACGGACTCCTGGCTTTAAGCATAGGTTTGGTGCTTCTGATGTCCATGCCCCCGATCCCCTAGCCAATGCCAAAGCAGTGACAGGCAGTTTGACAGAACCCTTCGTAAAGAAAGTGACCTTTCTGACATGAAGAGGTCAGCTGTTTGTAGGATCGCTCAAAAGCTTGTTCAAAGATACTCCACAAACTGCATCCAACAGCAAGTCGGTGCCCCCTCCTCTTCTCCTTCGCTTCAGCCTCACAGGACCAGTTTTGCACGTTGTTTCCATGTCTTTGTGCATTTAACCAGCAAGAATTTGGCTCTTTCAGAATCGTTTATTTCCACTTGTTGCTGTTTGTATCTTTCGTCTTCTTCTCCATTCTGCTCCTTTTCCTTCACGCACCCTGAAAGACTTGCTTCTACACACAATGGCCACTCCTGGTCTGCCTTCGGATCCGGCTTGGCAAAGCTGGTGTAGACTTGGCTCTTCTCCTGGCTGCTCCCGCTCCCGCTCCACCCGCCCAACTGCTCCGGCGCCTCCGAAAAAGCACCGGGGCGAGAGCGATCGCTACCGTGCGACCGGCCACGCAGCTTCCTCGTGCCACTGGACGTTGTGCATGGCGTTGAAGCCCACCTTTTCCTCAACGTGGGCGCCGCATGGGCTCGAGACTGCCGCACCACACTGCGCACCTCTCGCCCCACCAAGTGAATGTGCATCTGTTGCCAATAAATGAGAGTAGTAGCGTGTCTCCAATATCTTACCCAGTCGCTAGGTGGAAGTCTGCTTGGTTCCCTTTCTGCAAACGCGACAAAAGAATCACCTGGAACTCTGCCGTGAAGTCAAACCACAGCTAATTACTAACTGCAACTTGAAGATGTCCTGGTCACCCTCTGAGTCGAACAAAGATACTGCTGGAGTTGAAGGAATTATCCTCTTTCCAATCCATTTACTTCAGGCATTCATGATTCTCAGCAAGCACAACCCATCAGGAACCCACGTTCCATGTCACGTGGCTGTGAGCTCCCACGCCAAGTTTCCCCTGAGCGAAATGGATAGTTATAGCGCTCCAGCCAGTCGTGCACGGGCGCTTTGTACTTGGCATTCTTCACCGTCGGAGAGAGCCAAAGGAACCTCTTCAGCTGGAACAATTGCTACCAGGTGCTACCAGGTCCCTCTGGGACCTGGGTGTGCACTTTTCATCCTCCTCCCCCCACTCCACTCCATCTTTCGGGCCACAGTTTGCATTCCTGGAGATCGGTTTATGTCCGTCTCCCCGAAACTGCCGCGTGACACTTTAACATGAGGATGCTTAGAAGGCGCATCTGCTTGGTTTGCACACTCAGGTTTCAAGTACTTGGTCCATCCAAGAAGTGTTGATTTCTCTACCTCCTAAACTGCACTCAATCGAAGAAATCTGGAACATACCCATTCATTGAAATATGTTATATCTTATATAACTTATAACCTTTTATTCAACAGAGATACCAGTGCGTCGAGGTTGGTATTTTGCACTGATGGCCGCTGCTTGGAGAGTACGAAAAAGAGATTGTTTTTGACCTGTGCGGCCGAGTTTGGTGCCGTTCAGTCAAGTCAGTGAGTTTAGGGCTCCTTACAATAGACCCTCTTTCCTGCCAAAGAGGCCACGTTCAAAGCTTCAGGAACTCTCCCCCAAATCTCGGAAGCCTCTTCTTCTTCTCGTGCAGAGCAAGTGGCTCTTGAACCACCATGCGATCCAGAAAGGGATATCTGGCCTCCACTCCATGGACTCCAGCGACCAGCTCCTGGCGCCGCTGCTTGGCCACGGGCCCTGCGGGTCTCGGTGTCTGGATGGGTCCGGAGGGGGGCGGAGGAAGGGGCGTCCGGATGGGGCACTTAGGACCCATTGGTCTCGGTGTCTGGATTGGTACCGTTTCTGTGGAGTTGGTCCTTTTGAACATTCATGTATATAGATGTGTGGATGTGTGAGAAAGGGCCACGTCTGGTTGGGCAGATGGTCCTTTTCGCAAGATATGCCTCATGTCTTGCATCTCCAACCCCTGTGTCTGTTCTCATATCTGTCCTTTTCGATCATGAGTGCTAATACCCACCCACTAAAGGCACCTTTTGTACATGAGCCCGGAGCCTCAAAGAAAGAAAGGAGTAAAGAGAGTCAATTTCAGAGGTGTCATTTTCACGCGGTTCTGCAACAGGGCGCAGTTCCGGCTGGATTCTAGATCCTTCCCCACCTCCTTCATGAGGTAGTCGCGCTGCGTACCCAAGAAGAAGGCTTCCCAAGGGAAGAGCTCCCGCAAGTCATCTGGGAAGAAGCCTCCCAAAAAATTAAGCTAAGAGGGTCGTAGTGGTCCTAGAATGAGGAAATGTACAGCGAGTGTTCTGTTGCGTCAATGACAAACAAAGTCCAAAGAAAAGGGGACAAGACATGATGCGGCCTTGACATGGTGAGGTTCTCTGATTGCTTACTTGGTCCCTCATGTTAAGCCGTAGGGTGCTTCCTGACCAAATACCATGGAATAGTGGAGACTCCATTTCAAACCCCCTGAGATCAGCCGCCAGCCTGGCGCATGTTCAGCTCTCGCATGACACAGTTTGGCCCCTTCCTGTGGGGGGCCCCAAGAGCCGAAGAACCCTTGATCTGCCTCCGAAGTTGGAGTGCGGGAAGATCTTCTTACCTGGAAAGCTGCTAGAAAGCCACTCCATGGGTGCGACTGTTCGGCTGTTTGGCTGGTCAGACACCCTTCTTCATCTAGGGGTCAAAGGAAAGGCTCAACTGAAACCTGTGGGTCCCAGAAGTAAGCCATATCCGAATGTCCGCGAGAATCTCTGACTCTTGGGGGGTGAACCACCATTTTGTTTCAAACAAAGCCACTGGTGGAAGGGTCAAAACCAACTTCCTCAGCCTGGGCCTCAGAAGACCTTTCGAACAAATCCAATGTGCAAGAATTCGTCGCCGCTTTTCTCGCCACGATTCCCCGGAAGACGTGGAACGCGTCGACCGGATCAGAAACGAGTCACTGAGAATGAAAACCAAAGGTCTGGCTAGACCATCATGAATACGCATGAACCATGTTGAAGAAAAACCAGCCCAAAAAAAGGATGCAAACAGCTGTCAACAGCCTGTGGCGGACCCGCTTTAAGCAGCCGTTGACCTTAAACAGCTCCGGATGACATGCTCCGGATTCCACCACCTTCGACCGAGGGGACCCACACGCGAACCCGACCTCCATGGCCGTAGTCCGAGATAATCTCGTCCGCCCCAGTGCCACTGAGGTAGACCAAGATCCCACGCCGGCGCACCTCGCAGTTGGCGGCAAAGGGCGTTGGCGGGACCCAAAACGAGGTCCGGAGAACCTCCGGAGGTCTTCTGGATGTGTTTTATACTTTTACATGAGAATGTCTTTAATAAACACATCTTCAAGTGGGAAGAGCCAAGCAGTTGGATGGTCACAGCAATGACATCTAGGACCTAGGAGTTATCAAGGTCCAACAATCTGCCATGCCCCTGCCAACCTGCCAACCTGCGCTGCCCCTGCCTCTTGCATGATGAAGGACAGACCCGAGGAGGCTGGATCTTCTGAAACCAGAAATTCTTGTCCTCGCGATGCCCTCGGACCGAATCCAAATCCACGCCCGGCGTGTCGAACGGGACGGCCACATGGGAAACCCGTTTGACGCTGCAAAAAAGAGAAGCTCAAGGAGCCAGCCCTCCGGACCAATTTTGTTGATTGTTGAATCAGACCTCTTCTGCCGCAAGGGGTGTGTATTTTCTATTTGAAAGGTTTTATACAATTATGCTAGTCAACTGTCAACATGAAGGAAGCTATCTGTTCTTCACCTGCTGTGAATCCACCCTCTACCCTTCCGATGCTCCCAGCCCATGCCACACCTGTAGTGGAAAGGCTCACACTGCTCTGCCAAGCGCTGTGCCTTCTGCGAAGGTCGGCCCGTAGTCCGAATCGACGACGGAAGCCTCAAGGTGCTGGTGGTCTGAGTGCCCCAGAAACTGACTAACATAGTGCACTTGTAACAAAGCCTCCCAGAATATCGCGGCCTCACAGCTGCAGCTACATCTTCATACATGAGAAACTGAGCTGCAAATCTGCCAAGGCCTCAAGCTTGCCCCAAGCAGTTGGCATACAAATTGCGTACAATATATATATATATATAATAAATATATGTGAGTGTGTGTCTATATAAATGAGGAACATCTCACACCCCAAAAAAAGCTTCGCACAAGAAGAACCACGAGTCCCACACCGCTCCGGCACGAGTCCCACATGTGGGGCTCCAATGTGACCCGTCTCGGATCTCTCCACTCGGCGCCTCTCGCTCCAGATCAGGGCCACTGAGAACCTGGGGCTCGCCATACCGGCCATGGCGGCCATGGCGGCCAAGAAATGAACATGTTCTTTTGAAAAAAGCTTGGATTGTTGAGTCACGTCGTTGGGGAATCAATCCATCTCTGCATCCTTGACAAACTAGACAACCAACCCGGCGGGGGCCGCGTCTCCTCGTCCTTCTGGAATAAAGACATATGCGTTACAGAGGGTTCACATCAAATGAACCAAGGCGCATCAGGTCAGATGAACCCCCAAGATGTAGAGGCCAGGACTTACTTGAAAAATCTTGAAAACCCCCCGACCATCAGAGGCATGTGTGATCCTTGAGGGAGCCTATCAAAGAGAGCCATCGCAGTGGACCTAGTTCTTGGATGTTCTTGGCATCTGGCCAATCACCAAGTTTGGAGCCATGCCAGGCTGACGGGTGACACGTGATTCCTCACAGCAAAGGGGGTGGTGAACAGAGACCCCCCTGAACATCGGCTAGTCCCTGTTCCCTTTCAGAGGTCTTTCACAGGTCTCCTGACTCTGGCTTGTGCCTTGAGGAAACCCTTGGGCATAAAGGCTGCGGCTAGGGTCGAGCGACGACACCTGGCCTTCCAAAAAGATGTACAGGTCAATCAATCTTCGAAGCCCAGCGATTTCAAGCCCTGCTTCACCACCAACCACCTCTGTCCGCGGTCGCGGTCGACCCCGAATCGTGCCAAGAGGCAATGACGTTGGTCTCCGTCCAGTTGCCCGCCCAGGCGATCCGCTCTTGCAAAATCTTCATGTCCTCCGTGGAGAAGACCGTGTAAGCGAAGTGCCCCGTCCTGTGCAGGACGTTTGCGCGACGACCGCGTTGACGCTGGGACGTTTCTGCGGCGGCCGAGCGGTGTGCGGCGGCATCCACCGGGCATCCAACTCACCTGAACAATGAACACGCAGGAAGACCATGCTTGATAATCCAAAAGGTGTGGCTCCCATGCCTATGTCAATTTTTATTTGGTAAATGTGTCTGCTAAATCCCAAACTAGTCATGAAATGACGATCTTGAGCAAGTTAATCTCAGCTCTCACTGGAATCAGTCGAAAAAAGAAATGTAAATCAACAACTCATGCTCATGCGACATCAAAAGGCAGGAGTTCGGCACAACTTCCGCTGACGGAGGCCGACCGCACCTCTCTTGCACCAGTGCGACGTGAATGGCACCACTGTCATAGCCAGATGATAGTCCAATGAACATTGGATGGATGGCATACTGCACGCGCTTCTGCACTGCACTTGCAAAGGCTGCCTGAAAGTCTTGTGAGTCCTCCGCACCGCGAGGTTACGACATAGACCAGAGCGCCCCAATCTCCATCAACTTGAATGGAGCAAAACATGCAGAACACCTCAAGGAAATGGCCCATTCTTGTACAACGATTTGCCCAACCTTGCTCTCTTGCAAGGAAAGTAGAAGAGAAGTAGAAGAAAATGCCACTGCTTGGGGATTTCTTGATATTTCTGGGTCTAAACAAGTCATTCGTGCGTGGTTCGTCTTCGGTCTCCGAGGGAAAGGCCCAATTCCCAACCAGTGTGCTTTGCTGCGTGGTCTCGAGTCCTCTTTGAACTGACGGAGATCGAACTCGTGCAAAGCACGCTTCTGAATGGTTCCAGAATCCAGATCAAACACAATGATAGTGTTGGGATCCACCATTCGCACCTCTCCTGCAACAGGCAGATAAAGCCAAGAGTGTACTTCAGTTCCCAGTCATTCGTCATGCTACTGTTCGGATCATCCGCCTGTAACCTATCCGCCTCGCATCCCATACGATCTGCCTACAGCATCCCGGCTGGGCGGAGAGGCACCCTATAAGCACCCAAATGAATCATGAACTACAGCCGTTCATCCCGAAAGGCTTGGGGGCGCACGACTGCAAACTACATGCGCTACATGGTTACTCCAACCCAAAATGGCATTGCCCAACAACAGGGCAAGCAGCTCAACAGACTCGCACAACTTGGAATTTTAGGCTTCTTCCCGGTCTCTTCCTGTTGGGGCATGTCTTTGTCGCCCGAAAATTGACAGCATTGCAAAATTGTTTAGCAAAGATCCCATCTCTTGTGGAGCAAAAACCATGGGAAACAGCCCGTAGAGCAGAAGTCACATAAGAGCAACCACAGAAGATCTCATTCCAATGCCGAAGTCACTGGCTGTGAAAATCAAAGAAGTGTAAAAAGAAAACTTGGTTGTGATACTAATTAGTTGAAAAGGGGGTGAAAACAAACAAGTCAATTGGAACAACAAGCAAGTCCTGTGCAATTCCTCTCCTTTACGACTTCTGCCTACAGTGAAAATATATGCAATCTCATTGAAGCTAAGCTATACGGAAAGTTCTACGATTCTACGGCAGATTCAATTATAAGAAAGTGGCACAAGTCGCAGGGAAAAGATTCTGTGAGGGCACTACATATTTATATAATTATGGTCTTCTCACGTTGTCCTCACGACTGACCGTCAAGCCATTCTCCTCTTGGCACTCCCATGCGTACCAGTGCGCTTTGATAACTGGCCACATGAAAGCCTGCTGCATCCAGTGGAGTCGAAAGAAAGAGGACTGAGACCGGCTGCAATACTGAGACCGTCTGTGGGAGGGACTGTTTCACCAAACCCCCTCAGTTCTCTACACTGACCCCCTCGGTTAACCCTTCTTTTAACTTTGTTTTTGGTGGAAACTAATCTCCAAAAAAGGGTTGAGGGATGTTGAGGGCCATCCACTTTTCCTGGCAGGCACTGGGTAGATTACAGGATGTTACAGGCGTTTGGGCGGATTTCCCAACCGGCTGCGTCTTCCTGCTCTCCGCAGTTTTCGCTTCAGAGCTTCTGCCGAACCAGTTCTGTTTTTAAAGGAGCATGGTCCATACCTCGTGGCTGGGGACGAGCCCCCTTGCTTGAAGGTCGAGAGACTTGCAAAAGGAATCATGGATTTCACCCGGGTAGATGAGTTCCATCACAAAGTTGGGTGAGGGGTGTCGGGACCATCTTCTCCTCTTGGGCAAATGGCTCGGTGGGCAAAATGGCTCGGTGGGCAAATCCCCAAGCTTGGGAGACTGAGAGGATGGCGTTTCTTCCTGGGCCTCCACCCTAGTAGCTTCTTCTTCCTAGTAGTAAGGCCAGGAGCTATATACTAGTAGCGTCGTCCTTGTTACTAGTAGTAAAGCCCGGGCACGCCTTGGTATGTCGAGAACCACAAGGGCTTCGTGGAGAAAATATCCTCGGGAGAGCGGAGGCGGGCATCGACCGGGAAGCGAAGCGCTGTGTTTTTTCCCAGGTCCTTGGGCCAAGCTGCCTGGCTGCGTCTCCCCTGCCTGGCCCGCCTCTTGGTCCACTTGAAAAAGAACCCTTGTACCAAGGTCATCCAACGTCATCCAAGGTCATGGTTTGACCTTTTTTGAACCAAGAAACGACAGACACAACTGAAATCGGTTCGACCACTAACGGCACCCCAACCAGTGAGGAACCTGCAGCATCCACTTACTTAGCGATTCTTGTCCCCGACGTGACTCACGGTGGAGATAAACATTGACCCATACCCTCCTTCATTTTCTGGTGGCAGTTCTCCTCAGGTCAGTTCTCCTCTTCCATTTCGGTGACAAAACAAACGAGGTGGACCATGTACTGCCGGCTTCATCCGAAACGGCGGAAAGCGAAACTCCACCGGCCCAAATGGATCACCCACCAGCTTGAGCCGCGGATGTGTTCGATCCCCAGCACTGGAGATCCGCCCAGTGGCGGTGGAGATCACCGCTTGGCGTTGGCGGAAATCCAGCAGGGCCAGGGCAAACTCGCCATCCAAGAGTCCTTGGAATGATGTCCAAGTCAAGATTCACCCTGTCCAAGAAGGTCATTGTTCCACCTTCTCCGGTTCATTTTCTCAAGTTCAGCAAAGGGGGCTTACTGGGCAATATGGACGGATCCGGTTGTTGTCTTTTTAATGTTTTTGTGACCAAATTCTTGACACGTCCCCACAGCAAGCTAAAATTTGCATCCTTGCACTTTGGTGACATGGATGTTAAGTTGTTTTCAGACGTTGGCTTACTGTCAATAAGGTCTTGAGTCGTTCCGTGTGGACCATTTTTTACTATTCGCTGGTACAAAATCACAGGGTTCTCAGGACGAAGACTTGTAGATGTTGCTCTTGGTGTGGTGACGTTCTCGTTCTTTTCTTGACGGCTGCCTACCGTTCATGCCTTTGTTTCTTTTGTTGCTTTCAACCTTCTCATTCCCCACATGCTAGTGTGGGGGCTTACTTCTTCTTCGGGTCTTCCCGACGTCCTCCTGCTCCTTGTCGCTCCCACCTGACATCATCACATAACTTTTTTCACCAACTCACTCACATGAACTTACCCACTCCAAGTCACTCACACCAACTTAAACACACCAACTAATTCGCAACTTCCTCACACCAAGTCACACACTGCAACTTGCTCACACCAACTCACACACACAGACTCAATGTATGATGCGTTCGATCTGATTGCTCCAACCCCTGAAGCCTCGGGGAAAAAAGATCCTTAAACCAGGCAGTACAAAGTAAAACGCAAGCTGGTATAATCTAAGCAGACCTGTCTCCACCTCACCAGCCAAAATTCTAGAGGACGACGTGGTTACAAAGCGCCACACTTGCTTCCAAAGGCAGGTACGTCCAGCTGACCAAGCTGGATATCCCATTTCACTGGTAGCTTCACTCCGCGCGGTCCACTGAAACGGTGTGTCGCACATTAACAAGCCAAAAAGGCTCCCTAGGGCTACACACAAACCAACTGGCTCACATGAACTTATATACTCACATTCCTGCAAAAAATAATATGGCAAAACACGACATGCAGGGGCGACCGAATCCGGAAGCTCTTGCGGTTTTGGGGGGATCGACTTAGAGCTGACAAAAGCAGGTACTACCCAGCAGGTACTACCCAGTGCTTTTCCTCTCAGAACCTCCCCAAAAGTGCAAATAGATTCTCTTCTACCATTTGTTGACCACTAAGTACGATCATTCACAAAACACACTTCATTTACAGAAGCTCCTGTCGAAGAGATCAAATTATGCGCACTCAGAGTCATTAACATGGGAGTGGAAAACGATTCTGTTTGGAATTCGGAAAATGATCATCCGAGGGCCCATGCCATCCACTTCCTTGATTGTTTCAGTCAGTGTAGCAGTGCACCAGCTTTCAGGAGAGAACAGGGCTTTTCAACACCAGGTCCGCGATTCCTGGACTGCGGCCAATTCTCCCTCGAATTCCTGGCTCACCCTTGCCTTAATGGTTTGAATCCCGAACAACCCTTGTTTCAACTCAGAAAGTCTGTTCACTACTCGGAAGGCTTTCAGCGCCTGGTGGGATTTTTCACCAATCCACCGGATCTTCCTGCGCAGGCACGTGGAAAGAGGTGCCCCTGACGCAGGTAGAGCGGCAGCAGTGCTTCGCCATCACTGGCGGAGTCGGGCCAAAGAGATCGAAAATTATAGATCTCCCCGTTGTAAAGCACCACCACCTGTGAGGACACGTGAAGAAACAGAAACACGGCGGGGGGAATGCTTTTCATGATGTTGATCTACGTCCTGGAAGATTAGCATGGAACCTGAAGACCACTGGGTTGTAGAGGAAAATCATCTTCCTTTCAGGTCCATGCCATCAGGTTCAATGTGGGTCTCTTCCCGGGTGCACCAGATTCGAATGACCACTGTAGACACTTGGTCTGTGTTGTCCAGAGCCTTGAAACGAATCTTGGCTGCGTTTCCCCATGAACCATGGCCGCCATGGCCTGCTGGTCATCACTCACAAAGGGCTGTGGGATGCGTTCACCTGGCGCAAGCAGCAAAGGAAATCACCCGAAGTGGAGGAAACTCATGAACGAGGGACCTCTGAAGGCCTCTGTACTACTGCAGTACAAACTAGAGACCTTGCTTCAAAATGCTGCAGACATTGGATCTTCCACAGCCGTCGGGCTGTGGCATTCCACTTCGCACCTTCAGGACTTCGGGATCCAAACGAACTGCTTGCAGGTTCAGACCTGCGGAATCCATCCATTCATTCGCCACCGAAGCGGTCTGGGGGCGGATCGTGGCCGCCCCGAGGTCACGTGACGCGCGGCGCCCAGATGCGCCGAGTGGACCGGCTCGGCACCGCGAGTTGACCGCAGAAACCGGAGAGGCATCGTTGGGCCGTGCCAGAAGAGAGCAGAGAGATGCGAAGAGCAGCGCACATCATGCAATAGCTTGAAAATATGTGCTATCTGCTGCTATCGGATACAATGCGCCCTGGCTCTCTTTTGAGCGCCTTCATTGCATCATGGAGAAGTCTGTCATTCAACTCAACCAACAGTGAGATCGCTCTGGAAAGCCTCAAAACGCATCCGAACCGCGAGAATCAAGAGCGTCCAGCACTCCACAGCCTGCTGCCCTGCTCACTTCATCGCACGTCTCCCCAAAATAAAGACACCCATCCGCCCAAAAATATGATCCCCGCCGTCCGCCTGTCATGTGAAGCAAGTTGTGGACAAAGGTAAAGTTGTGAAGGTGGATACCTGCTGAAGTCGCGGATACTTGGTTCACTTGGGTGGTAGTACAATTGATACTGTCCACTCACCAGTATATTTGTTTTGTAGTCGATAGCTCATTTTCCATGTCCATGTTAGTCAGTGGGAGTGTACGTACATAATGTTTCTTACATGGGATGTGTTGATGTTTCTTGGACATGTTTGCTGTTGGTGGATTATTATACAAGATGGTCGATATTGGATAAAACCCCTGCACTGGTAATGGGAGATTTGGGCCTTTCTCACCTCGGCCATTGTGGATCAGTTGCAAGGAACCAGGACGATGTTCCATTGCTATGTCCACTCTGGACTCATGATCGGAGACATCCATCTGCCTTGGACGATGGCTAGTCCTCCAAACCAAATACCTGAGATCATAACTTCCCCATCTTGGCTTCTCAATCTCTCCATTCGTCGTACCACTCCATTCGTACGCGTCACCGAGCCACGGGTGGTGAGATCCGGCCCCCGCGGACGCATGAAGAAGTTGACATAGGTCAGATTCGTCAGCAGCCAGCTGCTCACCAGGAAGGAACACATGGCGACTGGACGAAGAAAATGAACGGCTTGTTAAATGCTTGGCAGCTTCAAAAAGAAGGGCCCCAGCTTCTGAACCCCTTGATGACTCCAGAATTGGGGTTGCCCCTGCCAGCAATACAGTGCTTTCTCATGTGCAATCTTCGTGCGTGCTGGCTGCTTGTCATGCCTCCAGAATAGACTTATCAAATGTTTCACCTAGGCCAACTGTTTTGGTCATTCTTCACACCAGCGAGCAGCCAACAACCCCCTCAGTCCCAGCGCTTTGTCAGGAGTGTTCCTCCCTTGAGCAAGGCCAAGAGTTCTGCAGTGTTTTGGAGATTGTTCTCATCGAAGTCCAAAATGTTATCCATGAGATCACTGGTGTTGATCTACGTCCTTTCCTTCACTACAAAGCCATGAATGAACAACTCCAAAACAGCTCACTCGTCTATCACGCGTGAAGGCAACTCCGCACTCGCTTGCGGCACATCTCAACAGTTGGATGCCACAACCCTCTGGTAACAGCTGTTTCACAGAACAAAAGCCCGAAAGCACCTTGGTTTGAGCTCAAGACCCTGTTATTGGAGGCCTTGTTGTTTGATGTGGTCATCGTTCCGATGAAAGCCTCACCCTGTCGCCACAACTCCTGCAGGTCGCCGACGACGAGCGCAGCACCTGGCGCCGGAAGGCCGCCGGAAGGCCCGGGGACGAAATCGGAGTCCAAAGGATCGGGACGAGAGCGAGGTAGAGACTACCTGGGGACATCTATATATAGGGACTACCTACTGCATCATTGTTGAGCTCCTCACATCTCCAGTACAATAGTACAATGGTGATGTCTCTTGTACCCCCCTGTTTTGGGGGGAAACAGGGAACATCACCCAATCGGACTCAAGACTTGGAAGATTCCTCGATGGTTCAATCCAACCAATCCTTGCAGCTGGAACGTCAGCTGCCACCCCCCCCCCCCCCCCCCCCCCCCCCCCCCCCGCGACGTAGGAGGCTGATAGACCGGCATGACGAGCCAGCACCTGTCCAGCGAACCGACGCTGATCGAAGCGGAGGGTCTGCAGCCGAATCGAAGCACTGCCCACCGCACGGCTGTCGCTGTCGAGTTCAGAGTGGGAGAGTTGAGGGAGTAGAAGCACCAAGATGGTCAGAGCTTGGCAGCGTCATGGTCTGCCAAGTGTCTACTGTGCTCTTCATGTACATTCCGACTATGGAGCGCGGGGGGGTTGCTGCTTGCTTCGGGCGATTCCAGCTTCGAGGTGGCTCGCTCAGCCCTGACTGGTGGCTCACCCAACACATGTGCAAATGTGCAGAGAGGAATGCAAGGTTCAAACAGCTGGAAATGGATGAAACTCCATCGCTGGAAATGCTCAGAGGGCCCTGCAGATTCAAACAGCCGGTTGATTCAGCCCTGCACCAGCCGCAACCACTTCGTTGTCTGCCACGTTTTGAGGCCTTCAACCTTGTAGAGTCACTTGCGTGTCAACCCTTGAAAGCAGCAGCCTCATCCAATGGGGTGACTGAGGTCGGTTCAACAAAACACCCAATGTCATAAGGAAAATCTAGATATGTTAAGTCAACTGATTTGCTTCAACCAAGTTATCTCACCTTGCTCTTCCCTCCACCAGTAGATCGGTAAGACCAACAACCAACTGACTGGTGTACTGGTCTGGAGGTATAGCAACCAAGACTCATCCAAGTCCCAACGAGTCGCGCGCCACATCTGTCCCAGCTGTCCCACGGACAGCAGGCAACACAAGTCTCCTGTGCAACGAGTCGCACCGGCTCAACGTCTCAGCTCCAGACCTTCCAACGTCCAAGGCCCGTAGCGCCCAGCAGATCTGGCTCGAGCGAAGCGAGAAAACATGTGGCATGCATCAGCCAACCGATCGGTGTCCGTGTTCCAGTGGAAATCTATGTTCACAGGTGTGATACACCAGTAGTTCCAGTGGTAATTTGTTCACTGTTTACAGCGTTTAATCAGTAAGCAATCGATCCTTTTCAGCTGGCTGGTGTGACCAGAGGGGCCAGACGCCCTTACTCTCACCCTGGGTGCGACGCATACGCGCGACGCGTGCTACATGAGTTAGTAGGAAACGTGACGCGACGTTCCGCCAGCCTTGAGAGGCTGTCCACGCACTCATGACGAGCGAAAGAAGATGCTGGAAGATTAGTCCAATGATCTCTAACAACCCGTGGTGGCCGAGAATTATCACTTGGGTTCAGGGTTGCAGTGGTTGCAAAGATTTCCAAGGACGCGGCCAATCAAATGTCCGGCGATTCCAACCAACAAAGTTTGCCTATGAGAAGCATTGGTGCTGACACCCAGGAACACTGCAGTAGCCACTCTGATGAACTTAGAGACATCATCGTCGTGATCTACGTCCATCCGAAATTGCAAGAGAGTTCACTCATCAATCAGCGACTCTGTCTGATTCATTCACCAGCTGGATTGGTCATGTTAGACATATGCCTGTGAGCCATTGAAAGAAGCGCATGGCAACGTTGCCACCCGTCCAGTGGCAATGTGACGAATCCCCAATCAAGGGCGCTTCTGGAGTCCACACCCTTACAGCACGTTAAGACATGTTGTGTTGGTTGTGCGAAGCTTCAGGACCGACCCTGAGTCTTGAGGATTGACTGTTTGTTGAGGTCCATCCAACCAGTCCACCATCATTCCGACGGTCTACATACTCCGTTTCAGAGCCTTTTGAGCGATGGAGAGAACGGTTTGGGTTCAGGGTATGAAGCACCAAATACGAAGAAGTGGGCGAACTGCCCGTGCAGTTCGCCGTGGAGCAAGTGGGATGGTTTTCGCTTGTGGAGGGTCCTTGTTCTCAAACTTCAACAGGGACGTGCACAGGAAGCAATAATATCTCCCAGCATCTCACAAGCTCTCCCGCCTCGCCGCAGGTAAATTCCCTGGAAGCTCTGTGGAGTGACCGTGCGAAGTGAGAAAGTGCTCCAAGCAGCAACAAGCTGCTGCAAGTGCTTAGGAATCACAGAGGGGTCGTATTGGTTGTGGACCAACCAGGTATCCCCTCTATGAATCAATCAACCAGTATGTAAAAGGCTCCTTGGCTATGCCTTCTTCAGGTGTCTCATCGCCGCTGTTTCGCCCAGTGTCGTTGGTTCCGCGACGGGGTCCCCAGGGGTGGACGCTTGATGAAGGATGAGCTCGCCCAATGGGGGGGCCATCTATTGCACCCCAACCGTGTGGATCTCATGACCTACCAGAGGCATGCTTCGGCTCTCAAGTTGAAAAATAGTTCCAGATCTCTTTCCAGCCTCCCCACATCCCAATAACGATCACAGAAGGCTCTATCTATCCGTTGATGTGGCATTCGAGGAACCGCGATGGACACAGTGCATCGACGATGATGAAGCGTGACACAAGACTACAGGTCTATGTTCCAAGCTGGCTTAAATTGACAAAATGGTCCTTCTCATCCACCCCGTCAATTTCTCGCCCAAGACTGGACACGAGGGCGAACGGGTGACAATCCCAAGAGTGACTAAACAGACTAGGCGACTAGCCCTAATGCTGGCCAAGTTCGCACGCTACGAACGGCAGTTCCTATCTCACCCCCATCAACCCCTCACACCTCCCAAGGCCACATGAACCTCTCTCTCTCAGGTCCCTCACTGGCCCTAGCCAAAACGGACGTGGTGCCAACGTCCTCCAAACCGCCGTGTTGGGACGCCTTCCTCCCAACGGTCGCCCCTTTTCGAAGGCGTCGGTCCCGCTCGCCTCGTGGCCTTGTCGCAGCAGTTCGTGCCCACGGCCCAGAAGTCCACGGTGCCGCTCTGTCCGACGGACGGACGAGCCGGACCCGTGACGGACGGGGCCGGACGAGCCGGACGGACGGAGCCGGTGGGAGGTCGTAAGACTTCCTGGTCTTTTTAAGAGGGGAAAGCAAACACCAGAAGGTCCGGTAGGAAATTCTGAGCTAGGCGGATGGTAAAAAGAAATGAAACGAGACTCCAAAGGAACAGGACCAAGACCTTCCAGTTGGAAGAGTTCCCAGCTTTTCATACCTACAGTCTCGATAGTCGCCTTGAACGCAAATGCACATCGAAAGCAGCCAAACATGGCGAAGCCGGCCATGGCACCTTCGCACTTCGAACATCACATGCTTTGCCCGATGAAATCATTCTGCCTATGGTCCTGCCCCCCGCTTCGGTGCTTCAGGTGCAATGTCTCCATCTCAAACGACGTCCCGGGTCTTCGTGATGACCCATCTGGCCTGGCCTGTGGCATCACAAAGTCCCCTTCGCGCGCCACCTGCGATGTCGCTGACTGGACCTCTAAGATGAGAAGCCGCCCGTTTGGCCCGCTCCTACTTCATTAAAGTAGGCGCCTACTCAATCAAGTAAGGGAGTAAACACGCTACTAGCAATAGAGCTTGCTATTACCTACTGGACGCTGGATAGCTCGTGAGCTAATGATTTGGTTCCTAGATTTTTGAGGGAAACTTGGCCTGGAGTTGAGTGAAAAACCTGGGTCTTCAGACAGCGTTCGATTTGGGGGACCCATGTTCAGACCAGAGCCATGCTTCTTGGATAGACAGAGACGTGGTTTCAGAGTATGCCACATGAGCTTCACGGCGAATAGGTACAATCTCCGCGCCAAGATGATTCGCTCATGTCTTTCTCATCGTCTCTTGAAACTATAGATGATAGCGCGACCTCCTGGTTCATTGGAAACTGCGCAGAGAGCTCATGTGGGTAAAGCTACTGCTCCTCTGCTTCTCTCTCCCATGAAACAAATGCCCCACCTCCTGCAGGCCCTTCTGATTCCGCAGGGGCTGTCCTCACAGATTTCAACAGGCACAAGATGGCACAAGATGCCACAAGGGTCACTCGCAACAAGGTCTGTTTGGGGGGGACAGGATCAGCTTGACACCACAGGTCCATGGACGCCACTGGTCGGAAGTGAGGACTGATCCTTGGAATGGACCGATCCTTCTCTTTTCGTTGAAAGAGGAGACATTGAAATTGAAATCCGAGAGTTGCATGAAGAGTCTCCTGTCGCATGGAGCTTGAGACTAAGGATCCATGCGACTGATTGCACCAAAAAAATCCTCAGCTTGTGAACAAAAAAAATGAACCCCCAATTTGGAAAGAGTCGGTCTCCTGCAAATCTGACCTCTGAAGGTTGCAAAGATTCAAGCTGCACGATTCAAGAACCAACATGTCTCTGGTTACCCAAAGCAAACATTTGTCATGTCATGTAAGTCCTATCAACAGCCTCCAATGGACACATGAACCCCCTTTTGTCGGGCTCCTAGGATGGGCGCCGCGCAGAAGTTCACGCGGTTCCGGAAGGAGACCATCTGGGAGACAGGATGGTCCGATGGTCACAAAATCCTTTTAGAATTCCCCTTAGCCACTACTATGATTCAACGGAGCAATACAAACCAGCGTGGTCACGTCTTCATGTCTTTTGCTGGGCCACGAACGGTTGAGCGCCGGACATGTTCTGTCAGAAAAGGCCCCCTTGGAAAATCGAAGGTTTTAGTTGTCCTGCCTCGCTGGTATCGACCGTCGTGCCCTCTTTGAAATACACCTGCAGGTCCGCAGAAGGTGAAGAAGGTCGACGGCCGAGTGACCGACAAGAAAGACGAAAACGTGAAGAGTCTGCCGACCTACCTCCACCTAAACAGCCTGAAAAAAGTAGAGTGGGACGTTTGCAGGTACATCAGGTTGATCAAACCTGGCTTCCACCATCACGCATAGCTTCGTTGGCATGCGTTTGCGTGATGGCCGCATGCCCCCTGCAAAAAAACAAATCGTTCCCTGTGACTCCAAGGGTTTCACACACTCGAGATAATGCGTACTGACGCGATTTGCGGTTTGCCACATGCCAGCCTAAGTAATTAGAAAACCTAAGGAGCCAGGACAGGTGTAAGTAAGGTGATCTGAACATCTTCGAAACCTCAACGGCCTCCAACTCCAATGGCAAGCTTGTTGTAGTTAAAACGGGGCCCAGTGGGAGTTAAGAAGTCACCACAAAGCAGGTACGTCATCAGGCGTCCCTGATGATATCCTAGGATCGTATGAGGAGCTTCGTTGGATGGAGCCTCATACGTCTTCTCCATCCCCCTGCTGAAAAGCAAAGCCAACTCAAGCCAACGGATTCCCTGTGACTCCAAGGGCTTCACACACTTAGATAGAGAGCTTACCGGGGTGAGCATAAGTTCTGAAGGTGACCCAAGGATGCATTAGCACTTTAAGTGAATACTCGGCCCTTGACTCGCAAACCGCAAGGCGATCAATCGGCGCAAAAGAAAGGGTTAACAAGAGTGACTCGCTAGCACTTTACCGGAAGAGTAGCGTAACAGCTTGGGAACACCACAAAAAGGAATGCAGGTACGTCGGAGTGCGATATCCTCCCAACTCATGAGCAGCTTCGTTGGCAGTAGACTCATGAGCGGGCTACTGCCCCCTTTTAATCAAATTGGAGAAACCTCTTAGAAACAGCGGTTGACACATACACACACACACACACACACACACACACGCCCGCACGAGCCGCCGGGCTCTGAGAGCAATGCCTTTGATGCCTTTGATGTGTCAAGTAAGGACGGGTTCCTGTCTTGAGGCCTCAAATCATCCAGCGCTCCTCTTACAGAGGCATTGGAAGCTCTCCCTGTCCTTCTTCCGTCATGCGGGAGAAGCATCACAAATCCCATTCCTGACGCTCCTTTGCATTTATTTAGCTCTCTTTTGGCCATTTTGAAAGGTTATAGTTATGATCGTATACTAGGCGATTCTTGGAGGATTTACTATATAGTGTTTCAAGGTGATTGAAGGTGATCCCACTCTTCCTGGGCTCGGCGTCCCACCAAAAAGCATCGCCTCGCCGGAGTCCATGTAGCTCTGTCCCTTGGCGGCCGCTGGATCTACGTCGGTGTAGGAGACCAAGTCCTGCCGTGTGCGTGCAGTGTCGGTGTGTGAAGCGGTTGCCCGGGTTTGGCCGTTGGGCTCCAAGAATTGGCAGCTAAACCACAGATGGTCTTCACCCTTCATCGTTTTACCAGTGGTTTTTGGGGTGGGTTTGGGTGGTACCCTGTTGTTGAGCCATTGCCAACAGATGGAATCAATCAATCTCCGGCTCATCGGACCCACAAGGAGCAACCTCTTGCGGGAACTTCACGCACTGGACTGACGTTCAGCCCGGAGTAACGGTGTGCATCTCCACACTGGAAGACACCCACACTGGAAGGGACCCTTGGTCAATCGAAAAAAACGAACCAACCAAACGCAGAGGCTTCTCCTCCAGCACTTTCTCGACATTCCAGGGGTTCGATCTGTGAAAGTGCATCAGCTCCATCCGGGGTCGATCCGTCTGCCCTTCCGCAGAGGTGTCTTAGACACCTGATTGCTCGGTATCGTCGAAGTATGTCTAAGTACGAAGAGGATAAACCTGTATCATATAGAACAACGTACAGAGTGTCTTTTAAAAAGGTTACAGAACAATCCACGCGTCAATGCACCTGATAGGTGTAGAAGCTGATCATGTGATGGCCATAGTTCTGGTCGCCAGCCCAGAGGCCACCCAAGCCTCCCGCCCTTAGCAAAACAAGATGACCTACCCCTACATCTGGTCGGGGGTGTCAGTGGTTCTGGAGCCAAGCATATGTGAGATGCTTCTTGATCTCCAAGTGGATGGCGGATGGAAATGATGGAGATGGAAATGATTTTAATTGGTTACTGTAAGACTTGCTGCATCTACACTATCAACTGCAACACCTGGGCACTCGGGCCAAAGGCAAAAGCTCAAGGCCAGCCACCTTCGGCAAGGCACCTTCCGCCTGAACCAGGTGAAAGAAAGCATCCACCAATTTTCAGTAGACAGTCTTTGACCGTATGTATGACAGTATGGGCCACTCTAGGGATCAAACGTTCATTGGAGAACGGGCCAGGGAAAGCGAGAGGCGGTCAATTGAGGTGCAAAAGCATCCGTGATGCTATGACGTCAGGAACACTTGGTTTATTGTGGTCTCAGTCAAGCCATGCTCTCTTCCACTGCCGAGCCTGAACATGAGGACAGCAACCTCAGAAAAAAGAAAGCCCATTGCAGTCAGACCACAGTTCTCTGCCAGAGCAGCAATACCATTCTTTCAAAACACGTAGACACCGTGCTGTCATCCAAAATCCCTGTGAGGTGGAGATGTCGTCAACCAATGCTGGTGACTGTGTTCTTAGTCCGTGGCCCAGGTGATCCCTGCTGCGATCAGCAGCCCCAAGGAGCCGATGCCCACGGCCAAACGCCAGTCCCGATACCTCGCGCAGGTCGGGTGACGGAGCGTTCAGTCCAAGCCGGGGCAGTGCCCACACCGCACGGTGGAAGCCTCACCCTTCCCCTCCCCCCCTTTCGAAGGCTGCCGTCTGGCACCGGCCGCCTTTGTGCGCAGAACAATATGGGCTAAAGCTGTGGTAAAGGTGCCTTCAAGGACCTTTGCATGGGCAGCTGCCATGCAAAATGGAATCAAATTCCTGATATACAGTAGATGTCGCTGATGGCGCGTAAACGCTCTCTTTCTTTGAGCAAGCATCCCAGGTGTCAATAGTTCTTGCAAGTCTAGTGCTTTGGCGAACATGGTCCAAGCCATTGGGTGGCTGCAGAACTTTGAAGGAATGTCTGCGTGTGTGTGTGTGTGTTTCTTTTTCAGGTCCGATTGCTTTGCTTTCTTTCTCCATGGTGTTTTTCTCTTCTGGCAAAAACATGTTCCAGACCAACACCCCCAAGTCGCAAGCATGACACCCATGTCAATGCCCACAACAGGGCGTCGGCGGCACCAGGGCGTCAGCCCATTCTATTTGGATGAGTTTCTGGATTGTTAATGGATTCCTTTTTCAAAGGACCTGCCTCTAACTCCTGCAGCTTCCTTCGCTACTTCTACTCCAGGTTCCTCCATCCATCACCACATAGCCATCTCCGTCATCGCCTCCAGCCACCAAAGCTCCAGTAGTACACATGGCCTCAGTCTCTAGATCCCGGCGTGGCGCCGCGTGGCCCACACACACCCAGATCCTTCGCACATGAAGTGCCTGGAAAACCTCCCCCCAACTGAGATGGTGGAAAATCCCCACGACTTTTTGAGCATGCCCGATGCTCCAGCGACTGGTCAAGTCCTTGCGACACCCACATGCTGCAAAGACCTCACAACTGGAGCGCGCGTTTGCCGGGTGCATGCCATTTTGCCCGATGTCCTGCACACCATCAGTCTAAGTGCAAGCCTCTTCCATGATGGGAAGGGCTTGGAAAACCGCACCTGGCTTGATCCCTGCTTTGCAGGGATAGGCTCCTGGTGCTGTGACAACACCTTTCGAAAAATTGGGTGCAGATCCAAGCGAAGATTCCAAGGAGGTCGCAGCTCTCGCCTTTTTCATGAAGGAACTTCAAACATCGTGTGTTGATGCAACCGTGTCCTATTTAACCGGCAAAAAGGAACAAGACTCCAAAGCCTTCGCCTCTGATCACGATCCACATGCAAACACATCTCCTAACACCTCATGGTGTAGGCATCATAAGTAAGTCCAAGCAAGCCCCTTCAGACATGGAATCTCGCACCCAAAGAAATCCGTCCCTCACAAAAACTTGGCCCACGCGTCGATAAATCCCTCGGAGCCATACCATTTGTAGGACCTCGTGAGGTGGACGTTCTGGAGTTGGTCCCTTGCCCGGTGGGGACAGTCAAATGGGCGCAAAAACTCTTCTTGTCATCCAGCCAGTGGGGCTCAAACGAACGGCGAAGTTTCCTAAAAACCCAGCCAAGGCCGCTGCTTTATGGGTGATTCTGGTTCAGGCACCGCTACTGAGATCATATGTCTCTCCTAGTCCTTAGACCAAGCTCTTGGGGCTGGATCAGTATTCAGATTGCAGCTAGTCCAATTCATGTGGGGGCCATCCCTAGTAGGTTGGAGGCCATCGCTACTAGGGTGGAGGCCATCGCTCTACTCTCAGAATCTAAAACCAGCACGTCCTAGTGTTCTCTTCACACGGCCAAACATGGGCCATCCCCAAATCTGAACCAGAGTCTGTGGGACAGTGGCATTCAATGGCTTCCCGCTACAAATGCACTTTCAAACCCTAAGGGCACCTCAGAATTCAGGTTCCTTCGGATTGGCCTGTGACCTGTGCAAATTTGCACGCACACAACCATTTGCCAAACCAGACGGAATCACCCAAGTCGCTTGGGCAACCGCAAGCTCTCCCCGGGCATGGGCACGAAGTCGGCCTCGCCCACCCAGCGAGAGACTGGACGTGAAGAATTCATGGAAGAAAAACGGGTTGAGGTTGGGAATTCCTCGAAATGCTGATCTTTTTGCAATCAGGAAAAGGATCGTCTTTGCAGGGCAGTTGACCACGGAGGAAGGCTTTATCAATTGTGTCCTCGCTGGCATAGGCTGGAAACCTACAAGTGTAAAAATGTGACACCGGAGAAAAAAAAAACAGAACGCAGAAGAACTGCTTCCTTTGCAACAGGTTTGAGCCAGTTAGAGTCGGTTAGAGCGCTCCAAATTGTTTGTGTATACTGTGTGATTTATCATACACACATAACACATTGTTATTATACACAAATATATGTCATATATAATATGATATAATGCAAAAGAAAGTCATGCTTAGTTCAATCAAATATATATATATATATATATTGTATAATGTAACATATGACATTATAGTATATTATATAAATAACCTGTATTTGTATGAATTTTGTATAGCATTCCTTCCCATCAGACCATCTCCCACTAGCTGAGGCACATGGTTGCAATCATCCAAGACCTTGGAAATCAGTGAGTCTCTCTAACCTGGCAGTCTAAGGCGGAGTATAGCGTTAATGTGAGAGAACCCCTGTGGAGAATCTATTTTTTGGAGTCTGGCGCTGTATCCCCACACTCTAAACAATTGATCCAAGCCCCTGTGACTAGTCAACTCCAGGGCAAATGTGAGTGTTCATCGATGGATATATTTCAAGCCATGACAGTCTCTCAAATTTGCCTTCAGCAACTCGAGTCCGCTACACATCCAAGCCTGCTCAGTGTTTCGACTCTTAGAATTCTGCAGAAATGAGCAGAGTCGTCTGATTGAGAAGCCATCGAGTCCACTCCTCATCCCGACGTCGAAGAGACGTGACCCTCCTTCAGGTTTGGCCCGTGGCCCACATCCAGAATCATCTTGCTCTCAGGAATGTTCATCCCTATCCATTCATGAAGCGTTTGTCGCCCAAAAGCCTGAGAAAACTGGTGGATATCGTTCCCAGAACTGTTTGCCCTTTGTCCCAGAGGGCCATAGGGTAGACAATAGTGCAGTAGTGACGCTGCGGCAGCCGAGTCACAACGCTGCGGCAGCCTGGTCACAACGCTCGGTCATTGGACCCATTTCGTTCCATGTTCAAAGGCTTTTACTGAACAAAAGGTGTCAGCAGCGCGGTCAGCTGCTTTTCCTAGTGGGCATTTGAGGTGAAAAGCCCGGACAAACAAATCTGATCGCTGCCCTGGGTGAAATAGATCGTCGCTAAAGGATTTAGCGAGCTTAGCCTGGATGCACCCATGTCACAATGTGAGTGCGCCGAGATCTGCTCTCCATGCAGCTCGGAGTGTGTCCGTGAAGACCCTCACTGGCACCAACCAACGGACTATAAACCTCCCAACAAGGGAGGATGCCAGGAGTCCTCCATCCCAACTCAGACACCAACTGCTGCATCAGATCATCTCTCAGGTCCGCTGCGGCACCGGAACACCGAGGGTGGACGCGGCGAACTCGCCTTCATCGGCCCACTGATTCGCCAGAAAGAGAAACCAACTACCCACGCAGGTACTGAAAAGTATCATCCGCTTCCACCGCTTCCACCGGCTCTACCGCTTCAACCGCTTCCCACGGCCTTCCATGAGCGCGGTCTCCACCGGGATCAGCCCGTCGCCCTCGACGTCGAAGGTGCTGCCCGACAACGGCAGGTAAGATGCCAAGGCCACGACCTGCGCCCGGACGAAATCACTGGCAACAGCCACCGGGGCCAATTCCACCACACCTGACTCGATGTCCGAACGCGTGCCCGGGCTCGGGGCACGCGCCTTACCGGGCTTTTTGGGGCAGGGCCCGAGGTGCTGGTGCCACTGTTAGTGGGACATACCAAGGTGTGAGATGCAAAAAAAATCGTGAAAGAAGATTGGCTCTTCGGGTCATTAGAACGGCTAAGCAACAGGCGCGACCTTTACACTCAAGCTTGAGCACTTAAAGCCAAACAGTATTCTCATGCCCCCCAACGAGCCTCCTCCAAGAAGGTGCTGCGGTTTTGCGTCTGGTTCCAGAGCTTCTCACCTGCGCAATGTCAAAAGCTGAAAAAAAAGGCAAAGAAGGTCCTGGTCTTGGTGATGTGTGAAACCTCACAGTGCGATCCTCAAGCATCCCAAATGGGCGGGTTTTTATGGATCTACCGATCTACCTTACCACTCTAGACCACTTGCAAGCTTCCCAAAAACCACCTCAGCCTTCGACACCGAAACCTTTCACATCTCTCCTTCATCTCCTTCGGTCGGATCCGCCGCGCGGGCCCGCCTACGCCCTCCATCATCACCTCCATCGAGGCAGGGGTCTTGGTCCCAGAACCCGCCACGCACGTCACCAGCGAGGTGTTCAGCGGAGAACCTGCGGGTGCCGAACCGGAAAGGACCAGAATGGACTAGAAAGGTCCGGTCTTTTGCTGCTGGTTGAAAAAGGAAGAGGCTTTGGCAAAATTCCAAAGCTTTGATGGGTGCTGTTCGATCTTGTTTCATGTTGTTCCCTGCTACATACAGGACCATGCATCAGCCAAAACTCTTGATCCAATCGGCTTCTTCTTCGGCTTTGGTGTGTAGTATAGGAACATCTGTTGAACTTCCAAGAGATGTGGGCTTTGGATAGGCTTGGCATAGAGCGCCAGTGGCGATCGACCTCCGCACCGGGTCACCACACACCCCCAGGTCCCTCTCCTGGCCTGAAGGAAATTTCTCGTTGATGTAGGTGAGCAGACCACCTGGAAGAGGTGAAACGTTTCCTTTTTCGGCTGGGTGGGACGGGCCATTGTTGGCCAACAAGGGGAACAACAAATAGCTCTCATCAACTTAACGCCTTCGCACAAAGAGATTCCCAGCTTTGCTATGTTAGAAGTGAAGAAAAGAAAAGCTCAATTATAAATGAAAATAGATGAAAGCTGCCCACTCACTCACTCCAGTTTTCATCAGTTTTCCATTCTTCCAGTGCTCGGGCCTGGCTGCAGCCAGGAAGAACCTCTTGACCCAGCCTACATGTTTCACACGCCTCTTGACCCATCCCAACACTGATTCCCCCAACATATCTCGGCCCTTTCCACCTCAAAGCCACCTGAAACCCAGCTCCTCCCCACCCAGCTGCCCCGAGCTGCCGCTTCCCCTGAGTGGCCGACGGGTCTGGTCCAAGGCGGCCACCACCGACTCAGCGGGCGGCGGCTGATGGGGCGTGCCCAACCTGAGTGGTGTGCCCCAGCGGGGCAGGAAAGGTGTTGCGTGGGGGCAAGAGACCAGCGGTTTTGCTGGGCTTTTTTCGCTTGGCCAAGTACCATGAGTCAATGAGGTTGTGCAACAACTAAGGTGACTCTCGAAGATCGGTGGAATCTCTTCGTGGCAGGAGCCCCCCGAAAAGGCAGTGTCCACGCTTGAACGCACGCTTTGCGCTACAACTTTTTAGGGCTGAAAGTGGAATAAGATCCCATTCCAAGCTGCTTGGGGCGGGTCCTTGACTGTTGATGAACCTTCAAAGGAAGACTGATGGTTATCCACCGACTTGCCATGTTGCCACTCACGGCCTACACTCCCACTCACCAACATGGAACTGGGTAACATGGCCCCAGGAAATACACAGTAAGTGTGCAACTGTCATGTCAGTGAGTTAGAGTTTTCCTTCCATCAATGGCCACAATTCTTTTTTGCCCTCATCGGGTCAGTTCTGTCGCAATCCTCACCCCCTATGGATGGCGCTTGTCCGACTGGAGCACCGGCCATATCATTCCCCTCCATCTGTACAGTACCACTCAAAAGCTGCTTTAGATTAGATACTGATGAAAACACTGGATTCCACCACTTCCCGGATTTGTCTTTTTATGTTGTACTCCCTGCTTCAACTTTCATCATAATCTTATGTTCATTCTTGTATAAGGGAAGGTGATTGTCGCTGCCTTTCCAACCTAGCGCCAAAACTAGTGAATCGTCGGAAAGGGTTCCTCCATCACTAGGAGCGCCTTCACCCCTCCCTTCCACACGAGCAAAACGTCTCCGCTGCGCTCCCGAACGTCACCAGCGACCGCACCCGCCGCATCGCTTGGTCCCCTAAGACCTGACAGCTTAGAGTTCTCCATCAAGTAAATCGAGC